ATCCAGCTCAAGTGCAGCATCAATTTAAATTTAATTTCACAAGGGAAAACAGAAATTTCCTCTCCATGTGGACCTCTCCCAGAGTTGTTTTGGCTTTCTGCTAGCATGGAGGCTGTTGTCAAGAGCAAGTGTCTCAAGAAATAAAAATTGAGAGCCGGCCTGTGGCTCACTTGGGAGAGTCTGGTGCTGATAACATCAAGGCCACGGGTTTGGATCCCTATATAGGGATGGCCGGTTAGCTCACTTGGGAGAGCGTGGTGCTGACAACACCAAGTCAAGGGTTAAGACCCCCTTACCGGTTGTCTTTAAAAAAAAAAAAAAGAAATAAAAATTGAAAGGTGCCCATTTCTTAAAACACTAGACCCAGAAATTGGCCCAGCACTCACCTCTACCATATTCTGTTGATCAAGCAGTCAAGGGCAAAGCACATAGATCTTACTTCTCAACAGGAGGAATAGCAAAGAATTTGTGAGTATGTTTTAAACTTCCCACAAGGTGTCTGGGGGTTAGTGCTGAGGGCCAGGGATAGATCCTCAGGGGGGCACCCTCAGGGAGACAGACAGAATGAACTTAAACTCTGAGTCTGGGCAGGTGCAACCATCCCTTCTGCCTGGGGTTCTTTCCCTGCTTTGTCAATTTTAACCTTTACCTACTCTTCAGACCTCAGTTGAAAGTTTTGATTCTCAGAATATCCTTTTCTGACCCCTCTACTGAGTCAGACACGTCATAGTTTCCTCTTCTTTTCCTTCTCAGCACCTTTGAAAGTTTATATTTGTATTAATGTCACTGTTTTCTTTTTCCGGTGGCTGGCTGTTATGGGGATCTGAACCCTTGACCTTGGAGCTATAACACCATGCTCTAATCAGCCAGCCCCTCACTTTTTTCTTAGTGTTCCTCTCTCTCACTGGGCTGTGACTTCCCCTAAAGCAGAGCATGTCCATTTTTATCATTATTGTATCCCCAAGGCAGGACACAAAGTTGAACACATAGTAAATATCAGTTGAATAATTAAATTAGTGAATTATTCTTTCACTATTGAAGTACTGCCTCTCTCCCCACTGCACTGTCAGCTGCACACAGGGTAGATCCATGTTTCTTTTGTTCACATTATTTGCACCGGGCATGGTGCATAGTAGACATGGTAACAAGCCTCCAAGATGGCACCCAAATGGTCCTTGCCCCTTGGTATTCATGCCCTTGTATGGTCCCCTCCCACAATCAATAGGGCTGACCAATGTGTGACCAATAGAATACTGCAGAAGTGACAGCTCGCGACTTCCAAGGCTGAGTCATAAAAGACATCAATGCTTCCAGCTTGTTTTCTCGGATCACTTGCTCTGGGGGAAGCCACCTGCCATTACGTGAGAACACTCAAGAAGCCATGTTGGGAAGACATTCAAGCAACCTTGTGAAGAGACCCACATAGAGAGGAATTGAAGTCCCCAGCCAACAGCCAAAACATACTTGCCAGTCATGTGAGTGAGTCACCTTGGAAGGGCATCCTCCAGCTCAAGTCATCAGATAACCTCAGCCCCAGCTGATACTTGACTACGGGCTCATGAGAGACCAGAACTGCTCAGCCAATCTGTTGCTGAATTTCTGACAAACAGAAACTATAAGAGATAATAAATGTTTATTATTGTTTCAAGTCCCTACATTTTCACATAATTTTGTTCCATAGTAATAAACAATTCAGTAGGCATTGGCCAAATAGGTTTTGAATGAAACTGTGACATTGGATGAATTGTTACCTTTTTCTTTTTCTTTTTTTTTCAAAAGATGACCGGTAAGGGGATCTCAACCCTTGGCTTGGTGTTGTCAGCACCACGCTCAGCCAGTGAGCAAACCGGCCATCCCTATATAGGAGCCGAACCCGTGGCCTTGGTGTTATCAGCACCGCACTCTTTTTTTTTTTAAAAATGAACGGTAAGGGGATCTCAACCCTTGGCTTGGTGTTGTCAGCACCACGCTCAGCCAGTGAGCAAACCGGCCATCCCTATATAGGATCCGAACCCGTGGCCTTGGTGTTATCAGCACTGCACTCTACTGAGTGAGCCACAGGCTGGCCCTGAATTGTTACCTTTTTCTGAGTCTGAATTCTTATCTGTAAAATGGGAAGAAATATATCCAATGTACCTCACGTGGCAAGATCAGAGTAGGAGTTTGCTATACTACCAGCAGTATAACCTCCTGATGAATCATTGGGCCACACAGCGTGGTTTTGAATCCTGGCTTTGCTACTTCGAAGGTATAAGACTTTGTTCAGACTACTAATAACTTTTCTTTTTTTTCTAAAAAGATGACCAGTAAGGGGATCTTAACCCTTGACTTGGTGTTGTCAGCACCACGCTCTCCCAAGTGAGCAAACCGGCCATCTCTACGTAGGGATCCAAACCTGTGGCCTTGGTGTTATCAGCACCACACTCTCCCAAGTGAGCCATGGGCTGGCCCTCTAATAACTTTTATGGACCTCAGACTCTTCAGCTATGAAATGAGAATATTAAAGAACCTACCCAATCTTTACACATATTATAAAATAATCCAAGCTCACTCAAACTCCATGAAGTGGGCTGGCCTGGTAGCTCAGTTGGTTAGTGCACAGTGTTTTAAACCACAGTCAAACTTCATGAGATGGCAGCTGTTTTCCTTTCTTGTTCACTGCTTTATCCCTAGCACAGAGATCAGTCGCTAACATATAAGAAGCGCTCAAAAAGTAACAAATAAAAAGGTGCCTTGCCTAAGGAAAATACTTATTAACTATCATTAGCCTACAAGGGCCTACATGATTCCCCACCTACTTCATCTATGATCTCATCACTTGCTCACTCTCATTCGGCAACCACCCTGTTCTCTCCACAGTTCTCAATTATGCCAGCACACACTGTAACAGGCTGAGCAGAAGTGACTCTGATGGCAGAGGTAAGGTCTGGGGGGGCCCAATAGTTGGCCTCAACCCACGTAGTCCTCTTACTAGGTTCTTGACTCTGCCACAGGAAAGAATTCAAGGGCAGAGTCACAGTAGAAAGTGAGAACAAGTTTAATATAATAGATAAGAAATGCAGGTTCCACAGAGAGAGTGGTGTAGCTCCAGAGACTGAGCAGGGCCCACACCAAGCTTAACACAAAAGTAAGTTCAGTACAGACATTAAGTCTAACACAAAAGCAAGAAAACACACTTAAAGCTCTGTACAGAGGGCAGGCTGGCTCAAGAGAATGAGCTGCTGCTTGCTGAAAGCAAGTTTGATACAAAATAAAATACACACACCTCAGCCAGCAAGTGCAGGTACCCTCCAAGAGAGTGAGCAGCAACCCTGCCATCTGCTGGGATTTGGCTTTTATAGTTTCTCTATCTAATGAATATTCAATTAAGGGGGGGGGGCGTTTCCCAGTTATGTAACATTTAGTCTTGCACATGCTCAGCTGGTCTCTTCCTAGAGCATGTTCATTGGTCAGACCCTATCACACGCACCAGGCATTATTCAAGAATATTCTGTGCTCTATTGAGCATGCCCAGTCACTGGATCTGCATAAACCAGCCCCTTGTGATCTCATCTTCCCCTGTTGGTGCTGAAAATAGGTCTATCTGGCAACAATAACCTTCCTTGAGAGGAGAAGCCAGAGGATGGGTACTGAGACTTCAGGGAGTGGCTGGGAACCCAAACCCAAGGACACTGAGCACCTCCTGTATCAACTCCATTTTGTTAAACTTCTAAATTACAAGGTTTTTTTTCTTACTCTTGTAACGGGAATCGCATAGCTTGCAGCTATATATTAGAATATAATGATTCTTTTTTTTTTTTTTTGTCTTTTTTCGTGTCCGGGAACGGATCACAACCCTCAGTGTCGCCCCCGCACCGGACCGGGACCAGCAACGGGATCGCAACCCTCGGTGTTGCTCCCGCGCCTCGTTCAGCCAGTGAGCAGGAACCGGTCTGCATGTGGGATCCGAACCCTCGGCGGGAGCGCTGCCGCGCTTCCCAAGCGGCGCACTGTAGCAGTGCGCCACCGGGCCGGCCCCAATATAATGATTCTTGTTCATATGATTGCTAGAACATAATGACTTTTGCTCATATTGTACACAGAATAATTATAGAAGAAATTATTAACCCAGGTGGCCATTCTTTACTAGCTTACTAACTAGATCTTTTTGAGGTTAACCAGAACTGAATCCATGACTTGACTTCATGGAGGATGGTGACCATGAATCAACTCCCCTACCACCTGTCCCTATAAAACCCTCTGACAAGTCTGGGAAAAGTGGAGATGGTCTTTGAGACATAAATCCACCATTTCCCAAGACTGCTGGCTTCCTGATTAAAGGCTATCTTTCCTTACACCAACAGTTCTCTCTGAATTATTGGCTATAGAGAGGCAAGCAAACGGACCTTTGGAATTTTGGTAACGACACATTTCAGGGGCTTTGCACTTACTGTCCTCTGCTCCCCCATGCTCCATCTCCCAGTTATCCACATGGCTTGTTCCCTTGGTGCCCTCGGATCTCTGTTCAATGCCACTGTCTCTGAGAAGGCTTCCCTGAGCACCTCATCACTCTGTAGCACCATATCCTGCTTTATTTTTCCAAAGCATTTATCATCGTCTGATTTATATTTATTTCTCTTTGGGTTTTCCTCCATAGAACGTAAACTCCATGAGGGCAAGGCTTTGTCTATTTTATTCACCACTCAATTTCACAACATCTCCAATGCCAGGGATCAGTAGGCGCCCCATAAACATTTGCAGAATTAAATATCCTCATAAATGACCACGTGGGCATCCCGGTGGGGACTTAAGCTGCGCCATTTTTTCGGCCAAGATTGCTACGAGCCTCCCTTCCTTGACTGACAGTCCCTGGCCAACCTTTGAGGCTTGTAGAGTCCACGTGGTCCCAGGCTCCGCGGAGGAAGTGCTGCGCAGGCGCGGCCCCTGGCGCAGGCGCACACGTAGACGCGGCCGGAGCGCTCGGCTGGCGGCGGTTGGAGGCGCGCGGGACCGGCGGGTGGTTGGCGGGAGTGGAACCCGAGCGGAGGCTGCGAGAACCCGCGCCATGGTGGAGAAGGAGGAGGCTGGCGGCGGCATCAGCGAGGAGGAGGCGGCGCAGTATGACCGGCAGATCCGCCTGTGGGGATTGGAGGCCCAGAAACGGTCAGGGCCAGTGCGGCTTGAGGCGCCTGGGGTCTGGAGGGCCGGTCTGGTCTGAGGTGTTTGCGGCCCTGAGGGAAGGGGAAGGTCTGATTTGAAGAGAGGAGGCAGGAATTATGTGCTCGGGGATGGTAGCGTTTCTGAGAGGACTGGAGGGGTTGTTTGGGGATGTTTATGGAAGGTATGGGGAAGTGGGGACGTCCCAGCGTGGTGGGAGGGCCATTGCGAGGGATTGGAGGCCACCGAAGGGGGCCGGTGGGGGAGTCCTGAGGAAGCAGGAGGATTCATACTCAGGTAATCGGGCGACCGAAAGTGGCGATGGTGGGTTTTAGGTCACGGTTGGGGGTTTGGGAGATAAGAGGGGCCGGGAATGCATGGAAAGGGCGAAGCAGGGGCGAAGTTCATTCATTCATAGGTAGTGGGAACCTGTTCTGTGCTGAACTCGGGAGGCTGGCGAACCTAACAGATGTGAGTTTACATTCTTGTGACTCCCCAGGGGCGGGCCAGTTTGAATGAATGTGGGTTTTGAGGAGTTTGGGAGCAAGTTATATCAAGTGGGAGTCTTGAGTGTCTCAGAGAGAGTGGGTGGAGGGTGTGTGTGTCTGGAGGTTCCTACAGGGGTTGCTTTTATCTAGGTATGGGGGTTGTGTCCAGAGCGGACAGGAGACGTAGGTTGGGCTTTGTGGAGTAGATTGGGTATTGAGGAGTAGTTAATTTACCCGAGGGGATGAAGTCTTTGAAAGAGGTGATCGATTTAAACCAAAATTTACTGAGCACCTGCCACAGGCATTATTCTAGGCACTGAGCCTTTATTAGTGAACTAAACAGGTCTTTGCCCACATGGAGTTACATTCTGGTGGGGGAGACGAACATAAAGAAGTAATGTCAAGGGGCCGGCCCGTGGCTCACTCGGTAGAGTGCGGTGCTGATAACACCAAGGCCATGGGTTCGGATCCCATATAGGGATGGCCGGTTTGCTCACTGGGTGAGCGTGGTGCTGACAACACCAAGTCAAGGGTTAAGATCCCCTTACCGGTCATCTTTTAAAAAAAAAAAAAGAAGAAGAAGTAATGTCAAGTAATTCAAGTTCTAGGGAGAAAAAGAGAGCAAAAATATTGATTGTTCAATAAAGAATGGTGAGGTGGGAGAGCTAATTTGATAGGGTGTCCAGGGGAGGGCTCTGAAGAGGTGACATTGAGCCTCAGGCCTGTTTGAAGGGAAAGAGCCATGCAGCCATTTGGAATAACCTTCCTAGCATGGAGAACAGTAGATGCAAAATCCCGGAGGCCCAAGCATGCTTGGCAAATTAGAGAAATAGGGTGGCTGGAACCAAAGGAGTTGAGGAGTAGTCTTTATTCTAAGTGTGCTGGGAAACCTATTGGAGTGTATTCAGCATGGTAATAACACGATTTGATTTGTGTTGTAAAAGGATCCCCCTTGCTGTGTGGAGAATAGGTTAAAGTGGGCAGAAATGGAAGTGTTATGTGATGTGAGAGTACAGAGAGTATAGAATTTATTAGTCTAAGGTGTTGGGGAGGCAGACAGGTCAGGAGAATTTAGTCTGAGGGGGTGGGAGCTTTTCAGAAGTTTTTGGTGAGAGAAGGTGGATGTGGAGGGGTGGAATGGGTGGTACGTCAGACTCATTTCATGTGTGTGGGGTCTTCTGCAATTCGGAGTAGGGGGAATGTCATCATGAAGCATTAACATTGGTGGTCTGAGGGTTGAAGGCACCTGAAATATAAGATAGGGAATTAATTGGTGAGAATCTGCCTGAAGACATAGGTGGGCTTGATTGAGTTAAGGAACTGCTATTTTCTGGAAGGGATGTAAAGAGGATTTAGGTGAGTTGAAGATAACTTTGAAAGCTTGGGGTGTTAGGAAGTCCCAAAGGGTTGGGGAGGGGATCCTAAGTATACTGGAAGGGTTAATTCAAGGGGTTGGGGGAGCAGGTAGTTTTTTTGAGGAGCCGGGGCAAAGTTGATAAGGATTAAACTGGAATGTCGTTTGGAAACTTTCAGAGAGGTAGGAATGATTTATCTGAGGACCTGGTTGGGAGGATAGGGGTTATCTATAATTTGTAATCTCTATATTTGTAGACAGTCTTACAGAGTTTATTTAAGTGTTCTTGTGTGTCCATTTTCTTTGATTTTTTTTTTTTTCTTTTTCTTTTTTTTTGGCGGCCGGCTGATATGGCAATCCTAACCCTTGACCTTGGTGTTACAAGGCTATGCTCTGACTAACTGAGCTAACTGGCTAGCCATATGTCCATTTCCAACTGAGTCTCATAAGAGCTCTCTGGAGTAGGAAGGGCAGTGATGTCCTTCCCTGTATAGACAAGAAAGAGACCCACAAAGCGAATTGACCTGCCTCTAAGGAGGCTCCAGTTAGGATAGGAGAACTCTGGGGGTTGGGGTTCCTTTGTGAAATGAAAGGCCTGAGAATTGGCAGACTGATAAGATGTATAGAATGTGAGACATTTTACAAGACAACTGCCCTGATTCTCTTCCAAAAGTCAATGTCACGGAAAAAACAAATGAAGAGACTGTTGTAGATTAAAAGAGAGTGAGGAGACATAGCCAGATGCAATGTGTGAAGCTTTTGACTGTATCTTGGTTCAAAAAGGGAACTTTTATAAAACAAACCAATATTTTTTAGGTAATAGGGGAAATTTGAATATTCAGTCCTGTTAGATGATATTTGGGAATTATTTTCTAGATGTTATAATGGTATGATTATGGGCCAGCCCGTGGCTCACTCGGGAGAGTGTGGTGCTGATAACACCAAGGCCACGGGTTCGGGTCCTATATAGGGATGGCCGGTTTAGCTCACTGGCTGAGCGTGGTGCACACAACACCAAGCCACTGGCTGAGCGTGGTGCACACAACACCAAGCCAAGGGGTGAGATCCCCTTACCGGTTATCTTTAAAAAAAAAAAAAAAAAAAATGGTATGGTTACGAAGGAGTATGTCTTGTTTTTAGAAATGCATGCTGGTTCTGGAAATCATCAAGTCGAAGGCATACCTGTTCCCCAATGTTCATCGCAGCACTCTTTACAATAGCTAAGAGTTGGGGGGCCGGCCCGGTGGCGCACTGCTACAGTGCGCTGCTTGGGAGCGCAGCGGCGCTCCTGCCGAGGGTTCGGATCCCACATACAGACCGGCTGCTCACTGGCTGAGCGAGGTGC